AATAGACTTACCTCCACGTGGTGCAACCTGGGCAACGTATATTCATACGGCATAAAAGTCTATTGACTGGCAGTTGACTTCTCACTTCAAACTACCATCACCTCGCTCTATGCCATATTCGAATATTTCACAGTACTCACTTCACCTTTGTTCTACCTTTGTGTCTGTCTCTTACATCTTTGAAACACTCTTCTGTTCCCCCCCCCTCTCGACTTTCTTTCACGTTGATGTTCCTTCCCCTCTGTGAAGTCTGAAGCCAACTAAAGGGCTAATGGCAACCATCAAGACGCCTGCCATTTGATATAAATAAATACTCTAATGACCTCATAACCACACTCCATCGGGGCTTGAACTTACTTGCAATGACTTGACAAACGTCCATAGAAGCTTTCTGATGGATTCCTCCTTGCTCAAAAGTTTAACCAACCGCATTACACGAACAAGGCGGAAGAAATTGATGTTGATCTTGGATGCATTCTCGAAACCAGCCTACAATTTTTTACCAAAAAAAGATTTACTTGTTCTATGCCTGAATGTGGGATTAATTTAAAATGCTTTAAAAATATCAAATTTCAGGCGGACAAAATTGAGAACTGGCCTCTATAAACAAGTCAATTTAAGCGAGAGATCAAAAGCTGTAGTTTTGGCTACTGATCAGTGGGATGAAAAATGGGACTTTCAAAGAGACCGCGCGGCTTGTGTCTGAAATTGGGGGACTTCCAAAATATTGCATCCTCTGGTAGTAGTAGTAGTGGGGGCTGGGAGAAACGTTTGGGGGAAAAGGGCTTTTTGGGGGCGGGGAGAGAGGGGGGGGGTGAGGATTGGATCAGGACACGCAGATCAAAGAGATACCTGGTTGATTCACCGGTTTTGCACTGGTCTAGTCAAAATGGCCCCCGGACACAGTAACGACCGAGATTTCTACCGTTAAACCATTTTTGGGGTTTTATTTCTTGACAAAATATATAGCAGGTCTAATAAATTCGAATTTAGGACCTTAGTTAAAGTAAAGACGGAAAAATTAAGAAATTTAATCACCATTTTATATGCCTGTAAGTCTGCATTGACTTTTGTGGTCTGTTTACAATCACCAAGACAACATCAATCTTTTGAATGAAGTTTAGTCAAGCACTTGCCCACCAAATATTATATATTCCAGTCTTCTAGGATTGATAACATAAATTTTCGACTCTTTGTCAAAAATAAACTTTAAGGTCATAAATTTCAGATCCACGCCTTCTAAATTGTGCGATGAAGTTCTAGTGCATACACGCAAGCTAAAACAAAATCAGGTTCGATAAAAATTTTCATTTCTAAGGTGGTTGATGAGTTGATGCCTCGGAAGCTTGTCGTTAGTAGACAAATTCCCCTTAGACATGCCTATCAAATTTCTAAGGAAACTCAAACGGTTATTGACACTTTTGTCAATCTCTAAGCTCCGGGAGAATTTCCCACTTCTATTAACTATTTCCACCGTCTTTTTCAGCTCCGAATCTCCAGAATACGATCAGCCACACCGCAGTTTCCACCACATAGCCACAGAGCTTTCTCCTATCCAAGCGCTAGCAATTATATTTAACAGGAACGTTTCCTTTGTCTGCTGTTCCTCTATCTGGTTTCTAATTTCAACAATTGGGGTGTGCGATAGACTCACCTCCACGTGGTGCACCCTGGGCAACGTATACTCATACGGCAAAAAGTCTATTAACCGGCAGTTGACTTCTGACTTCAAAATGCCATGGCAAGACTGCTTGTCATGTTCGACCGCTCTACAGTACTCATCTTACCCTTTTCTCTGCCTTTCTGTCTGTCTGTCTCTTTTACATCTGTGAATCGCTCCTCTGTTCCCCACCCCTCGACTTTCTGCTACTTTGATGAACCTTCCCCCCTATGAAGCCCGAAGTCAATTAAAGGGCTAATGATAGCTATCAAAACGCCTGCCATTTAAAATAAATAAATAAATATATTGCAAACCTACGCTACTTGGTCCTAGTGATTTGACCATAGCGCAGTAATTTAAATGTAGGCTGAGCAAGATGAGGAATAATCAAAGGAATTTTGTTGAAAGCTTCATGCCCGTTGATTTATTTTGGAATAATATAATGCAAATTTTTCAAATGAAATATATATATATATATGTATATATACCTTTATATCGAAAATATAACTTAATATCTTCACTAAAGAAAATATTCATCCTCTGGAGCCATTTATACATAAAATATCATGTAAATGATTTAGATATTTTGAAATTTTAGTATTGGGAGGCAGGGTAATTTATTATTAAAATCATAGATAATATTCTAATCTTGTTTGAAACGATCACTTATAGAACCGTGACCCAGAAAAGGCTTCGTTTTGGTTGGGTAGCTCCTTCTGATCGTAGAGGGGTTTAATGGTTTTTCGCTTATTCAGCACGCCTACTTACTTGCTGGTTGCACATAAAGTTTACTCGTCACACTATGTAATTTCTTACAAATTAGTGCCTTGAGCCTGTTTTGCTGCTTTGCGTTTATCTATTGATTTTGCAGTAACATTCGCGATTTTATTTAGTAATCATCCTAATCCAATCCAGCGAACTCCTTTTTTTCTTAATTTACACCGAGGTTCCTGATTTGTTATCTCACACTTTTAATTATAATTTACTCTGAAAATTTGTCAAAATGGTTTAATCAGTTAGATCGAATTAATTGGTAGTTTATTGATGTATAAAATTCGAAATAAGCGGTTTAATGCTAATATCCGGTTGCTAATTAATTTTTTCTTATATTTCCCGCTTACTTATGTTTTGCATATTTCATTACTAGTTTTCAAAATTTGGAAGCACAATGGAAAAGCATCCTGTACTTGGTACCCCAATTAATCCGCCGTTCCCTGAAGATTGTGAAACTATTATGTTTGGCATGGGCTGTTTTTGGGGAGCTGAACGTCGTTTCTGGACAATTCCTAACATTTACTCTACACAAGTATGCTAATTTTAATAGTTTTACGGTTGTATTATTAAAAAAACAGTTTCTTTTTTATCATGTGCATATTGAGTCTAAATTGGTCGACCTTAGCTTAACTTGGTAAATTGTAAACATTAAATGCATTTTTTATTAATAATAGGTTGGTTACGCTGGTGGAAATACCACCAACCCCAGTTACAATGACGTTTGTAGTGGGGCGACAGGTCATGCAGAAGTCGTGCGTGTCGTTTTCAATCCCCGGCTCACACCGTTAAGCACTCTACTCAAGGTAATCAGTAGGTAGTTCTGTTTAACCTTTCTTAGACATTTTGGGAGGCTCATGATCCTACTACCCCCAATCGTCAAGGCAACGATGTTGGATCTCAGTATAGATCAGCAATTTTTGTCTCCACAGAGGATCAACTCAAAGCTGCTATCGAATCTAGAGACATCTATCAAAAAGCTCTTGGCGATTCAGATCCAATAACAACAGAAATTAAAATTCTGACCGAATTTTTTTATGCTGAGCCTTACCATCAGCAATATTTGAGTAAAAATCCTCGAGGATATTGTGGTCTTAAGGGTACTGGAGTTTCTTTTCCTTTAAAGTAGACGCCCAAAGTTCCTTTTCTGATAAATCGTGGTCTTTATTTTCACATTTATATAATTGACTTGACTCATTAAATATTGTCTCATTGAATTCGTGTTTTACTTATAAATTATTTGACTTTTAAGT